TTCTTTTGATAATTAATGGTTGTTCTTGGGAGCTAAGATTGTTTAGCCCCCTTGCCCTGTAATTTTCTCATATTTTTAATATTTATTCAATCCACAGTTATTGATTAAAAAAAAAAAAAAAACTTTTAAAGTTAAATTGCCCCATGTATCTCAATATCTCAGGGTCCCTTTGGTTCATAGCCAGAATTGAAATTGGAATCACAATCCCTCAGAATCGGAATCAGAATGGTCTATTCCTATAGTCTGTTTGATTCAGATAGGAATTGGGATCAGCTGGAATGGGATTTTATTCCCGAGGGGGAGGGAATGGCCATTCCCTCAAATGGGGGAATGCTATTCCACCAGGAATGGGAATGACATTCTGATTCCACCCAACCAAACAGTTGGAATTGGAATTCCAGACCCCTATTCCTGCAAACCAAATGGGCTGGAAGTCTATTCTCAAACTCACAGGAAAATTCAATTCTTAGACCTACATTATTGGTTCTCAAAAATTTCATTGGTTCAATGAGAAACAAACAATTGCTGAATCTAACCTAGAAAGTCTTAATAGGTGAAGTTGTAATGCTTAGATAGCTTCAGGAAACTTTACCAAAGCTGAAATTCAGCTTATTGAGTCATTCTTTTAAACTTCCAGTTCACCTAGCTCCCATAGGACTACCTGTCCTACATCACCCCATCCTTAACCCACCTTACTCCTACACACTAAGTACCACTTAATCAAGTGATCTTTACCAGTGTCACCCTGCTCTCACAAAAGGTCTCTCATAATCTTCTCAAGTTTTTAGCATTACATTGGGATTCTGATAAATAGGTGGGTTGGTTAGCAAGAATCATCATCATCCATGCCTTTCTATATGGGGTCAAAGATTCAAAGTTCAAACCCTAGTTTAAAAGAAGAGAAGAAAATAGGAGTTTGAAAGAAAGAATGGGCGGCAATACTCTCTTCCAGCCCCTTGTTGATATATAAATGAGGGTTTTACAATAATACATGCATAGACAAGTATGCCCCTGCTTAGGTGGCAGCAAAAATACATAAGAACAAAACATAAAAGACAAACATAAGCCTAGGCCCATTACACCCAAACAAAACAAGTACATAAATGACTCCATATGGTTAAGACCCACAACACTCTCCCTCAAGCTGAGCATAGATATCTTTCATGCTTAGTTTGCACATAAGCTCCTGAAATCTCGATTTAGTGAGTCCCTTGGTGAACACATCTGCTAATTGTCTTGCAGAAGGCATGTAAGGAATACACAAATCTCCAAAGACAATCTTTTCCCTCACGAAGTGTCTGTCAATTTATTGATAAAAAAAAAAAGTGTCAATTTCAATATGTTTTGTTCCATTGTGCTAAACAGGATTATTTGCAACGTTGGTTGCAGCTTGATTGTCACAATACTACTTAAAGGGTCCAGTGATACATTTCCCAATTCACTGAAGAGAATTTTAAGCGAAACTATTTCAGCAACACCGTGAGCCATGGCCCTATTCTTAGTCCAGTACCGTTTGTTTCTTCTCCAAGTGACTAGATTCCCCTACAAAGGTGTAATATCCTGATGTGGATCTCCTATCCCTAGGGGAACCAGCCCAATCAGCATCAGTATAAGCCTTCATATTTGTAATATAAATTATAAAAATGAAAAATGAACCAGTCAACCTTTAACCGATTGATTCAGTTCAGTTTTGGTTTGAATTTTTAAAAAAATTGATAGGATTGGTTTGGTTTCAAATATGAGCTAAACCCCTAGCCAAATCTAGTGTTGAAGTTGAGTATAGGCTATAGGACCTGGTGTGATTGAGAAACCTATTAACTGAGTTGGGTTTTCCTGTGACAGATTCTATTTTTTATGTTGTGAAAACTAAGCTAAGCATTGCTTATTCAGCATAATAGAACAAAATATATTGAAGTTGATAAGCACTTTTTCTATGAGAAAGTTGAGAAGGGTAAAATATGTTCTCCGTTTGTTAGCTCTAGAGATCAACTAGTTATTTATATACGAAAAGTATGTTTACTCTGTCATCTGCACCATAGTGGGTTGTGTAAAAAGTTGTGAAATATACAGCTCAACTAGAGGGAGTATGTTAATTTGTCTTATACTTGACATAAGGGTATTCTTGTCATTATACTTATTTTTATGATTTGTCCTATTCAAATAAGAGTTTAGGGTGCTGCCTACTTCCTTCTTCTTCTTCTGACTCTATTCTATGGCAGACTACATCATAAAATGTATGAGGTCATTCTCAAAGATTGTTCTTTTACCTACAGTTTTTGGTATTTAAAGCTAGTTCTACATTTGACTAATTAGAAAGATGTGTCATTATTTGTATCTTCTTTTATTAGGGATACAAGTTATTGTATCTACTGTTGTTGGCAATTAACAACAAGAGAAAATAATGAGAACCTAAGTTGTTCATGTGATTGCATTACAAGCAAAATGGCGGTGACAATCGTCTTGCTTGTGAAATTGCATACTTAGCACCAGCATTGTAATTCCATTACTCAGTCCTTGTGGAGGACAATAAACTGTTCATATATAATTTAGTCTAGTTAAACTTGTGTTTTATTTTCTCCTTGGTGTTTGATTTGCTTACAATTACATATTTCTCAACGGCATTGCATACAACATTTTAGTCAGTGCTTGTAAATGACAATAAACTGTCTAGATGTACATATTTTCTAATCGGGTTCTTTTTACAGAATTTCTGGATTTAACAAACCGGCGTTCACATCAGAAGAAGTCTATGACAAGGTTATTGACCTCCAGGACAAGGTATGGACAATCCTTTCTTATAAAAAGAAAGCAAAACATAAATTGCAAATTCTCTCTCTAAGTTGTATTAAACTATACCAATTGGTGAAACCTTTATACAGGTTGCCAGCATTAACAAAATTCCTAAACCGAAGCCAAAAGTTGAGAAGCCTCTCAAGAATGAAGCTGATAGCAAGGAAAAGAACACAAGCACCTCAAACTCAACATCAGAGGAGACATCCTCTCAGACAGACCAATCCACAGGAGATACTGCTCAATCATCAAACGACAAAGTTGAATCCGAAACTGAGGCCCATGATGAGCTGTGAAAACTGATACTTATGCAAGCAATTCTTCTCTCTTCACTATTGGTAGTAGAAAAAGATATACGTGAGATCATGGTGGTCGCTTCTGCAACCCAGCAATTTTGGAAACAGTAGAATTATGGATTTAGCCTTTTACTTTTATGACAAAAGGTCCTTGAGACCCATGGCTTGCCATCATTGAAGCCCTGAAGGACTTGATGAATAGAAACTGAAATCTACTTTTTTCTCAGTGCAGTTAGTTACGATGCTTCATTAAAACCCCACGCTTTTTGGGGGTACATAAACCTGCATTGAGTTGAAAGTGAAGTTACCTCAATGGTTGATATCAAGGTTTATTTTCTCTGATTCTCACTTGTATGATGTATCATTGGGTCTGGATATTTGTCTTAAACATTTTGGTATTTATTAATTTAGATACATGCTTTCTTTTATCTTCCCCCTGTGAAATTGTGCAACATTTTGCCTTGCCAGATTTTGTAGATTAGATCAGAAATTAAGTAGTTGTTTACAATTATTTGTTAGCTTTACCAAGAAATAAAATAAAATAACCTGAGATGGTGCATACCTGGATCTACTAGAAACTGGTTACTGTGACAAATGCTGTGTAAGTGCAACCAAAGTGGAGCTGGTATTTTTGGTACTTGGTAAATAACAGATTTGGCCTTAGATACTCAAGAGTCGAGTCAGATTTAATCAACATCTTGAACCATGAATGGTATAAATTGAAAATATATGAAAAATAAGTTAACAGATCTATGTCGTTAGCCCCTTTAAGATATTTTTTTATTTGACTTTTTTTGTGACTGAAATACCCTTATTTGGTCATTTGTCCCTCTTTGATGTGAGTGCAAAATATGTAGGATTTCTTTGGTTCCAACAAATCTGTTCCTAATTGTTCAATGACTCCTCTTTTTTTATCAGCAACAGCTACAGAAATTTTCATTAAAGGATAAAAGAATACAGCATTTGGGTAACCACGGGGACCCCATTGTATGGTATCCTCGTATTTATAAAATACATGCAATGCAACCCTTGAGAGAACAATCCCTGCTAATATCTCCCCCCATTTGATTTACAATTGAGCCCAAAAGCATTGCCCTCTATTCACCCCTTATTTTGCTAACTAATCAGTCAAACTATTCGCTTCTCTTGGAATCCAATTAACTTTTAATTGTATGCCCAAGAAAAACTTTTTTTTTTTTTTTGTGATTTCACTCCTATCTCCGTTGCTTTCTGTACGACAAAAGCCACGGCCAATAATTCTGTCCTAGTTGAATTGTCTCTCGTAGATACCTTGTTACATTCATCATTCTTAGTGTTGGAGAGTAGTCAGAGTACAGTTCAAATTGTTGGTCAGGTAGGATGATCAACGAATCAAATGCCATTTATATGGTTAAAACTAGGGGTGTTAATGGACCAGTTTTAGGTTGGATCCATCCAAACCAAAATCAATTTGGACAGATTGGATGGACCAACAAGACATTGAATTGGACCAATCCAGACTTAATTGTCCAAAGTGTTTATTGGATTGGATTGGACTTGGTCCATCCGTAAGCCTCGGTTTGGAAAGAGTAAAATGCAAATATGTACAGTGCAAATACATAGAAAATAATACAAAATATAAGGTTTTGAACTCTATATATTTGCATTTGTACTCCTTCCAAACTAAGCATAATGGATTTATATTGGATTAGATTGGATTGAGTCAATATCTGGTCCATTGATAGAAGATAAGAATTTAGGTGTCAATGGACTATGTTTGGGTTGGAATCAATCTAAATTAAAACGAATTTGAACAGGTTGGATGGTTCAGACATTGAATTGGACCGGTCCAAAATGGTCCAAAATATTCATTAGATTTGGATTGGACCTGATCCATTTGTAATGGATTCACATTAAACTGGATCAGATTGGACCAGATCCCCTAGTTAGAGCATAGTTCAACGATTGCTGATAGTTGGGATGAATCAGACACCAATAACGTGGTACCAGCCTCCAAAAGTCTGCAAAGATAGCAAGTAAAGAATTTCTAGCCAACCTAATTTTAATTTTTCTAGAACCCATAGTTAAATAACTTCTATCTAACCTAACTTTAATTTTAATTTTTCTAAAACACATCAACCTTAGGCATTACCTATGGTTCCAACACTCCAAAAGTCTACAAAGAATCACTTAACAGGTAAAGAACTTCTACTCAATCTAATTATAATTTTTCTAGGAGCCATTGGCATTGAGACATTATCTATAAGTTCACATATCAATTTAGTCATGCATCTTCTTTCTTTTCACAAAAAACATTCAATTTAATACAAGACAATTTCCTTCAATTATGATAGCATCTTTTTAGGAGTAAATAGATGGGCCCTCTATATGCTAAAACCATTGGATTAGGAATCGTTTTAAGAATCGATTTACAGTGAAACCAGGATGATACGAATAAGCAAAGAAGACAAAAGGGAAAATAATAATCCTTCATATTTTATTCAACAGGTTACAGCCCTTATTTATAATTGAGCTAGGGATACAAGGTTGGCTACCTAAGTTAGAATACAAAGAGGATATGTACAGCCAATTTTGATAGGACTATCTCTCCTAGAATTAAGGAGATAATGATAGGATACTAATTGTGATAGAACTATCTCTCCTTAATTCTAGGATAGTAATTTTGATAGAATATTAACATCCCCCCTCAAACTCAAGATGGTAATGTATCAATCATCTAGAGTTTGCTAACTAGAGCACGGAAGTGAAGAGGAGAATGAACTTTGGTAAATATATCGACAGACTGATCCTAGGAAGAGACGGGAACAAGGCGAACAGTACCCTCGAGCACATGATGATGAATAAAGTGACAATCAGTCTCAATATGCTTAGTGCGCTAATGGAATACATCATTGTGGGCAATCTGTATGGCACTACGATTGTCACAATAAAGTGAGGTTGCAGATGAATGAGTAAGTCCCATGTCATGAAGTAACCATAACAGCTCGGTGGTAGTGTCAGCAAGAGCTTGATATTTAACTTCAGTACTGGAATGAGAGACAACCGTTTACTTCTTACTACGCCAAGATATAAGAGAATCTCCAAAAAATAAGCAATAACCAGTAGTGGAGCGGCTATCAGTAGGATCACCGGCCCAATCAACATCAGAGTATGAGATCAACTGAAAAGAGGAAGAACTAGAGTAGTGAAGTCCATGAAACAAAGTGCCCTTGACATAACGGATGATACGAAGCACGGCATCATAATGAGTAGTGCAAGGGGCAGACATGAACTGACTTACAATATGAACAGCATACGCAATATCAGGACGAGTAACAGTAAGGTATACAAGACTGCCAACTAGTTGACGATATAAGGTGCAGTCACTAAGAGGAGTACCATCAGTGGCTGTAAAATGGGCATTAGGCTCAATCAGAGTGTTAATAGTCTTAGTATCAGTGAGTCCTGCACGAGAAATAAGATCAGTAGCATACTTGGCCTGAGACAGATAATATCCCGATTGGTTGGAGGAGACCTCAACGCCTAGGAAATAATTGAGGCGACCAAGATCTTTCATTTCAAACTGTTTGCGAAGAAAAGTCTTAAGAACGGAAATGCCCTACAAATCATCGCCAGTAATGATCATGTCATCCACATAAAGAAGGAGAAGTACACAACCCTAAGAGGTCTTACGGATGAACAAGGCATGATCATAAGTGCTAGATTTAAAACCAAACTGACAAATAGTAGAGCTGAATTTGGAGAACCATGCTCAAGGTGCCTGCTTAAGTCCATATAGAGCCTTACGGAGACGACAAACTTGATTAGGGAGATGATCATAACCAGAAGGGGGCTGCATATAAATCTCTTCAGAAAGATCGCCATTGAGAAAAGCATTCTTAACATCCATCTGAAATAGCTACCAGTGCTTAGCTATAGCAATTGCAATAAGACTGCGAATAGAGGTGAGACGGACAACCGGGGCAAAGTCTCCTCATAATCAATGCCATACTCCTGTGTGAATCCTTTAGCTACCAATCTAGCTTTATACCTCTCAACTGAACCATCTACTCGTGTCTTGATTTTGTAGACCCATTTACAACCAATCATGGATTTATCTAGAGGCAAGTCAACTAAATCCCAAGTGTGAGTGCTTGTAAGAGCTTGGATTTCTTATACCATTGCTTTCTGCCATAGAGGGTCAGTACTAGCCTCACGATAGGTGCAAGGCTCGTATAAAGATGCAATGGTAGAATAATAATGAAAATCATGAAGAAGAATGGAAGGTTTAGTGACCCTACCAGAACGACGGAGTGGAGCACTAGAACGGTCAGAGCGAAACTCATCAGGAGCAATCAAGGGCTCAAAAGAAGGTAGAATTGGAGGATCCATAGCCAAGGTAGATGCAGTCGGAGAGGTTGCAGGTTGAGCAGTACTGTTCGAGCTATCAGAGGAAGAAGTAGTCGGACCTGCAGGTAAATCATTAGGAAAAAGTGAAATAGTAGAATTAGTAAAAAATGTGAAGATGTCGTGGTAACTCGAAATGGGGAGAAACTTGACACCATTTTGTGTTCCCAAAAGGTAACATGACAAGATATGCGAAGTCGTTGGGAAAGAGGATCCCAACACCGATATCCTTTATGTTCAATACCATACCCGAGAAAACAACATAGGCGTGCTTTTGGTTCCAATTTGGTATGTTCATGAGGTTGTAATAGAACAAAACAAACACAACCAAATACACGAAGAGACTGGTAATCAGGGCAATGGCCATACAATCGTTCATATGGAGAAATGTTACCAATAACAGGAGAAGGAATGCGATTGATGGTATAAACCGCAGTGAGGGCTGCTTCCCCCCAAAATCGTTCAGGACAAGAGGAAGAGATTAAAAGAGCTCGAACAGTATCAAGAATATGCCTATGTTTCTGTTCTGCATGCCCATTTTGTTGAGAGGTACTGGGACAAGATCTATGAATGATAGTTCTATTTTGTGAAAGAAATTGGATAAGAATAGAATCTCTATATTCCATGGCATTATCAGTGCGAAAAAATTTGATGATAGAGGAAAATTGAGTTTTGATCATAGTGGCAAATTGAATATAAATTGCAGGTAATTCAGATTTATTACGCATGAGATAAATTCATGTATATCGAAAGAAATCAATGAAGATCGAAAAATAATGCGAACCACCCATGGTATTATGAGGCGAAGGTCCCCAAATATCAGAATGAATAAGATCAAAAGGTGCAAAAGAAACATAATCACTTATATCAAAAGGCAAAGCATGATGTTTTGAAAGAGGACATGAAACACAATCAAAGTGGGTTGTTTTAGCAGGACCCAAACATCCATTAGAAATTAAAGATCCTAATCTAGAGATAGATATGTGACCAAGGCGAGAATGCCAGACACTAGAGGTGATAACAACAGTAAAAGATGGTAATTGAAGA